GTGTTTCCGTAAGATGAAGGAGGCAATGACATCGGCATCGCAGCAAGGCTTACGGGTCGTACTGGATTTCGAGCGTGCCGCTATGCATGCAGCAAAGAAGGCATGGAATAGAAGGAGAAACGCGCTCGGACTACGCCAGTACATACGGGGCACTCGGGGTACTCCAAGGTGTAAGATCCTTGAAAAGTGGTGGAGCACCATCAAGGAACTTCCGTTCCTCCCACCACACCTTCACCGAAGAGTACCTGCCTTGGTGCGTCCCCCGATCCCACAGACGCACGCCGCTTACCGCCTCTGCCTCATGTTCCTTGAATACCTGCGTACCAACTGGTGCGCGGGACCATTCAAGAACATGTGGTCCAAGTGGGGTGTCACAGAACACAGGACATCAAATGCAGCCGAATGGCATAACAGGTTTGCCATTTTACTGCCTACTTTCCAGACCACACTATTTATATGCATTCAGATTGCTGGGCATCCTCCTTGGCGTGCGGTATCCGCGTATGAGCAAGCTTATTCTTGCTCTTCAGGACAGCACCAGCGATGCTAAGGGAGAACTGCTCAACGTGAAAAGGCTAGTTGCATTTCACCACATTTTTGCATTAGTTGTCATATGTATCACTTTACAGAGGAGGACTGATGGGAAACGACTGCACAAGAAGGACATTCTGCGGCGGCTCCGTGTGCGAAGGGAGATGAATCGGTTCAGATCGATTCTGGAGAGCCAGCGAATCCCCTGCCCCTTTGATCAAACGACCCTCTTTGAGGCCAGCATCCGATACGAATACACTACTTCCTGCTCACTATTTTGGAATAAATTTTTTCATTCAAAAACGATAGAGGAAGAATACATGCCTATCTATCATAGCACTGATCAAAGATGTTAACTGCATGTACCTGTATGACCTATAAACTAGGAATGTTTTCTTCCCCAGTGTTTCTTCTTTGTTGCTGGCCACCATTACACATGAGACAGACAATTTCCAGCCACAAGTACAGCTGAGGTCGCGCTCCTATGCGAACTCGCGGACCAGTGCCAATAACGTGTTCGAACATGTGAACACGTTCAAACGTGTAGTCGCCGCGCGCGGTGACCTACTTTCCAGCGCGGCGACCTACTTCCGGCGCGGCGGTGACTCCTGGCCGTCTCCCCCGAAATTGAGTTGGATCCGCAATCAGCACCTCATTAAACCCCCATATGCAAGCTTTCATCAACTCGTGAAAAAAAGTGGTGCCAGAAATTGTGGCCCACAGTGGCCATCCAGAATGACGCCAGCGCTCAAAACGGATCATACGTGAACAGTCGCATCGAGATTACAATTAGAGGCAAGTTCAGCAAAAAAATGTTTTTTGTGATTTTCTGGGGTAGAGTAGGTTCAGTAAGTGCAAAACAACGTCAAAACAAATTTCTCTCGGGCCCAAATACGACCCTCCTTCCCTCCTGCCGGCCAAGAATTCCCAATAGAATGCCTAAGAGGCTGTTGGAATTTTGAATTCCACGCAAACACCCCTTTGGGAATTCGCAACAAGGATGTCGCCTCTCAAGGCACAGCACTGTTGGTGTGAAACACATAGGGGGTCGTACTTTTGCTTGGGGGAGGGGGGTCGTATTTGTTGGAGACAAATTTATTTTGATAGTTGATTTTATCTTGTGGAAAAGTGGGGTCGTATAATTTTGTTTATTAATATGCACCCTCTACCCAGTTCGGAGGGGGGGCGGGTCCTGCACCCGACATTTGCCTATCCCTTATGCCTGTACCCTTGTGCCCTGTCCAGAGCTGTTGGCGTATGGTGATTTCGTTTGGCGCGCATGCAGTGTGATTGCGTACTCTTGGAAATGCCTTGTTTACGTTTCAATCACTTTTGTTATTTCCTTGCACATTTGTCTAGAAGCGCTTAATGAGACTAATGATAGTTGTAATAATCAACTGTGATATCACCATGAAGAATAACTATATGAGCGTCTTATGTATAACATTTGAACAAACAAACGAACAACTTTGTTCTTGGTCATCTGGTCTTCTCGGGAACTATCTTGTCGTTTGCGGAATTAGGTGATCAGAGAAAAATGTATTGAAGAACATAGAAACTAGTCGCCTTCGATAGATATATAGACATCGAAGAAGTCCATAAGAAACATGAATTTCCCTTAGCCCTATCCAAACTGAACGATTTCTATCCAATTCGTCACCAATTCAACACAACATATTATCCTAAAAGACTCATGTTCCCAATATCGAATTTTTAATGCCGATCGGACCGATAAAAAGACTTCGCGACGATTATTAGCGAAAAAAAGTAAAGAGTAGATGGGAATATGTCGACTCCGTGAGCGAGCGACTTGATCGATAGTAGGTGAACAGGGAACCACTGAATGAGGAGAACGCTCACGCGACCGAAGTCGATGGCCATCTACTTTTTGAGGCGAGATCTCCAGGAGTACCAAAACGCATACTCTCCTATTCCTTCTTCTCTAGTCACCAGATTGAGCCATTACTTCTTTGGCGCGCAGTCACGAGTTCGTGCACGCCATTTCTTCCCCATCGCCTGCTCCGAGTCGCAATAGTACAAACCGCCTGGTCAAACATTTCGCGAAGTATCGCCTGCGAGCATGACGGAATCGCGGCCACCGCGAGCATGGATGGATTCACGCAAGCGTTGGCACCCGCGCCCTGTAGCGGACGCACAGTTTGAACTGACACAGAGCCATTTAGAACTGTGCCGTTACAGCGATGCAGTGTTTGGCGGTGGAACGTCCCTGGTTGTGGTCGCGTGATCATTCGCGAAGTCATGAACGCGGGTACCGCGCTGCTGATAGATTGGTTATCGATGAATTTCATGACTTTTCGATCTACGGGACAGAAGGAACGTTCAAGTCCAGCCAGAATGTGGCCAATCTATAGGTGGCCACGAATTAATCTCGTCTACATCGAAACGAATGGTTTTGTAAAGGTAAGTACATACCATATCTAGAAGATGGCAGGACTGGGCCGCGCAGCTCACTTGAACATGGCGCTGCGTAGGTTTTCTGTGATAATTTTCCATTTGAGGAGACTGTAGTACTGTCTTGTGCTGGACCGGGGCATGCTTGCACTTGTCCCATAAAAGGGCCAGAAACACGGCCACCGCCACATCTGGTGGAGCGTCGCAGCACGCGCCACGTCATACCTGATGATATCGACACTACCTGAAGAGCCGCACCTCCCATGCGTCAACCTCCAGTAACCAGCTGTGAGTGATTTTTTTAGAGATCAAAGTTGTGATTTTCAGAGTTCACCGGCATTTCTTTTGAGCTCTCCAGTACTCGCCGTCTTTCCTTGCTCCCCTGACAACAATATGAGCCCAGAGGCAAACGTTCGAACAGGCAGCATCACTCGCTCTTCTTGGGTTCTTCATTTTCACTGTTTGCAGTCTTTATGAAGTAATCAGGACAAATTTATAGCCTTATTCGATAATCTTATGAGTGCAAACTTCGTGGACGATGATGATCATCGGTACATCATGGTGTCCGTGGCAAACCTCACGTACTACTATTCCTTCAAGTAAGATCCTTTACTTGTTTATCTTTCGCCATTTTCAATTTGAAACCAATAAAATCGCTATCTCCGTGGTGAATTTGTTAGCACGGCCTGAAAGAAACTGGATAAAGCCTGAAAACGTAATAATGAGGGAGGGGCAAAAATGGTCCACTGGTTCGGAGCTGCTTCCATCCTAGGCGCTAACGTAGTCTGGAGATGGGGTAGGCGACCACCCGACAGTTTCCACCCGACCTCTGTGCCCCTCCTCTCCTCCCATTATAGTGTATGTTACACTAAGTCATGCTCGTACATTGGCATCCCCAGCGAGGAGGTTCCATGTGTGTTTGCTAGAGGAGATCTATTGCCTTTGTGAAAAAATGTTTTCGGTTGTAGACTTTTCGCCTTTTTTCATATTTCAAGTACCTTCCCCACTCGGCAACAATTTTTTGAAAGAGAAAAAATGCTGAACCCTTGGAAAAGACTTCAGAAAGGTGGTAGGAGGTTCGGAAAATTAAGGAAGGTGGTGAGGAGGATGGAGTGGCAGGGTCGCATTCTGCAACAATTCTCTCTGAGGGCAGGACGTGCGTGCCTGCTCAAGTGTGGACGAAGTTCATGTTATTGCGTAGCGACGGAAGTTCAGAGGTCTCCACCGGAGGTATCGGCAGCGATCGATGGAAACAGCAACAGCGGGCCATCTTTGCGTTGATTTTAGTCGACCCTATGCGCACCCCCTTTAAGGGAGTTGCCGTACAACCCCTCCCCCAGACAGGAAACATCACCTAAAAGTCAAATCCGGCCACTCCCGCAGACGCCAAAACGTAAATAGACCCCCCCCTCCCAAAAATGATCAAATGCGACCCCCCTCTCCCTTTACAACGTTCACGAAGCGAGAAAAATCAACTATCAAAATAAATTGCTCTCAGCCCAAATACGACCCCCCCCCTTTCTGGCGGCGTACCAAAATACGCCGGGGATTCCCCAACAGCGATTGCCCTGCAGCAAGCTCCTCGAGCCGACTGCGCGGGAATTCTGTAGCTCAAAAAGAAATTCCATTTTTTTAACGGAGTGAACACAAAAACACATTAGGGTCACTACTGGGAGAACTTCTCAACTAATTGATGTAATTCAGGTCGCAAATTCGCCTATGGTCTACAAAACTGACTGCAGCTGCGGGACTATATCTTATGATAATGTTTTACTACTGTTTTGCTGATTTACTAATGTCAATACCCTCACTGGTGCTACTATTGACGTTTTTGTTGGCAACGTCATGTGTGACCGCGGTGGCTGCTGGATCAGTTTGTCAATATGGCCACGTCAGTGACTACGATTCCGATCCAGGTATTTGATATCTCTAATCTGTTTTGCCAGTGCTTACGCTTTTCACTAGCTTTACTGAGGGAAGTTGAAGCTGCGGAGGAGGGGTTTGGAGGAAGAGGGTAGACGCCCCCTTTAATAACTCCGGTAGCCCCATTTTGAACATAGCATACCACTCTGCCGACACATATAGTCATGATCCGTGCAAACTGTAGGCCGTGAGGGGGCGTGACTTGGAGCGGAGCCAGGGCGGTCCCTTCCGTCAGTTGTTGTGGACTCAGGATAGCATCATTGGTGGTAAAGGCTGCCTTGGCCACGCCTCATTTGTTTACAGGGATCATGGCTGTATCTGTATTTCCGGGTGAACAGCTTGGGCGCTACATGCATTTGCGCTACTTTGCGTCACTGCCTAGCAACTTGCATAGCAGCATGTGGTTTTGATGGAGCGAAAGGGGTCCTAGGTGAGCAGGCCATTTCAGACAGTCCAGGTCCTGGGTGAGCAGGTCACTTCGGACAATCAAATTTCTCGCAAATGCACCCATACCAGAGCATCATGCTCCATTAAAAAATTGCTGGCCACTATAGCCCTGACGCAGAATTACAGAGTGGCCCTTTCCGAGGCACATAAGGATGCGTCCATACTTTCTCAGGTGTTTCAAGCGGACGCCAACGGTTTAGCGTTGTGAGCGGCTTGGGAAGTATAAATATCGATCTAACGTGTTGAGTACGCCAACGCTTTCAGCGATTAGCCTCGAAGATTCAAAGCTACCCGCAAAAACGCTTAAAAGGCTGGCGTACGCTCGAAACGCTCGAAACAGTGCCGTACACTCAAAACTCTGATGCGAAGTATGAGGCGCAGCTTAACGCCAAGGCTTGTTCGTATGTTTGTACTGGTTCATTTTAGGCATCCTACATTCGCCTCATTGGAACTTTAGCCCAAATAGCTAGCAGTTCAATGTTCGTGATAAATATGTTCGGCGAAAGGACAGAAAGGGTACAAGTGTGGTCGAGGATTCTCTTCTATGGCGCGCAAGCGCTTCTGTTTCTAGCAAACGAGAGAACATTTTAATTTTTTTTAATTGAGAGCTAGCGTATTGTTAATTGGACTTACTATTGCAGTGTATTTAAAAGTTC